AACATCCTCGAGCTAGAGATCTGTCATATGTGCCAGTAAGTTAAGGACTGCAAGGATTTTGAGCAGGAATGTCAAATGCTTACAGAAATTATTAGTAAGTGAATATGGGGGACTAGAGCCTGAAACTCAGAAGAGGAAACAAACAGGAAGAGGCAGAGAGGCTCCTGAGATTAGAACACAAAGGGAAGGAGATGTCTCAGTTTGACCAGACTGGTGGTTAGCAAGGCAGAATTCCCAGTTGGTTAGTAATGTGCAGTCCTGTTCTGATATTAAAAGGACAAAGCTGACAGAAGGGCTGCAGGGCAGGAAGGCAGCTGTGGCAGGGAATACAAATGTGTTGATTCCTAACAACTTCCAACAGTTACAGCAATTTGCTTCAAGAGCACACAGTCACTTGTGTGACACAGACAGGCACTTCCTTCAAGATATTTTCCATACAAGGAAGAAAACCGAATGATGATGTGGGTAAACTGAGGCCAAGACAAAAAGGTTTTGAGGAAAAACAGTAAGTATGTAGAGGTGAGAAACACAAGAAACATGGAGCTGGACAGTAGGTTTTATGATGAAGTCTAAGCTACAGGACAGGACAGCTTCTAAATCTGGAAGTTCAAATTTATTTAGCCATGGGGTTTTTTTTGTTCCAAATAGATCTTGGATACAACGATCCAGATTAGATTACTGTAATGCTCTCTACAAGGTGCTGCATATTACAACTCCTTGGAAACTGAAGCTAGTATAGAATGCTTATTAAGCTCATTTTCATGCTAGGAGTATTACACCCACACTTCAGGATACACACTGACTGCCAAAATGTTTCCAGGTGGAATTTAAGAAAGATTGCCAACTCTCAAGCTAAAACTGAAGAGAATAAATTGGTTTTTGTGCAAAGCTGCAAAATTATCTTTTCTTCTGAGTTTTTTAAAGACTACTAAAAATGGTTACTACTGCAATGCCAATAGTATGGCAGCACTCAATCTCCATATATTTATTCACATAATAAAATCAGATACACCAACATAACCAGGGATCACATCATGACTCACTGTAACATGACCATGTGTATGGGCAGAGGAGAGTTAGAATCTTCCTACTGTTCGAGAAGTTTTCTTACAGCTTCACCAGAGATTAGGTAAAACAAGGACATACAAGGGCAAAAAAGGTCACCAATCTATGCCTCTCCCTAAACAGAAGAGCAAAAAGAGGGAATAAGAGCAAGAGGGCAAGAAAGGACTGGAAACTTGATTTTGCTCCCTAGCAGCAGCCAGAAGACCTAAACACATCCATTACATCTGAAAAAAAGGTGTTCAACTGGTTCCTTCAAGAGAAGTCAGAGAACCTACTCCTTTACTACTCTGGAGCCATGCTGCCACATGCTGCCCATGGCAGGATATGAAATCAAGTAACAATTATAACAAAAACACGATCTTTAAAAGTAATGTCAATACCTGAATACGACAGCTCCTCATAAAAAGTAGGCTTATTTCAAGCAGGATGTGTGTATATATTTCTTCTGAGAAACTGGAGGTACACCATTCTCTTAAAAAGGAGTACAGAAATACCTTGTTCTTTGTTACAAACACGTCCTCCAGCGCACATGTACATACTTTTACAGACATATATAACAACATGAAGCTATTTCTCTATACAAATGTAGCATGCAAATTAGAAAACTCAGTATTATCTATAGAAATTAGAAAAGTTTCAAGATTAACACTGTATGTTCAACTATACCTCTCCAGAAGTTGTGAGAAAACTTTCAAAACTCCTCCCTAGCATTCACTAAATTAACTGGTATTTATGTTACAATATGCACAACTTCCTGGTCACCTTACAAAATTAAAAATCTCCTCAGATGATCTGCAAGGTTATTATTCTTTTCAGTTTATTCTGTTCTTTTAAACCACATGTTGGTTTATAGCCATCAAAACCCACATATCTAGATTTTGTGTGCAATACTGAATGGGAAATGCAGGTTTCTACAGCACATGGCACTCAAGTAGCTGCACAAATGAATGCCATACAGAATGCTAAATACAACACAGAAAGGAAAGAAAAAATAAACCCCATGATTAAAAAATGTAAGATAAAGCAATGACCAAAGTTCACTCATGATTATCTTTGTCTGTGCTGTTCTCAAAGGTTATTTCAGCAAGGATTTTGCAATGGATCTCCTATTTGCTTGCTTTGCAAGTAAACATATGCTGGGCTAATTGTTCACAGAGAGTGTGGAAACTTAGGGAGCACTTCAGGAGAACACCTATTCCAAGTCCAACACGAGGTGAAATAAAGCTATATTCATCTAACCTGTTCTTAAAAATCTTCAAGAAAAGACCTTCCATTACATGTATATGAAAGAATGTCCACAGTTTGTTTCCACTTACAGATTCATTAGACTCAAAGTGAAAAAGTTTTCTTTTTAATAACTAACCTAGTTATTCTTGGCAAAATTAAATTTACTGCTCCTACTCTTTCTCCACTGGGCACTGGAATACAATTGATCATCGTCTCCTTTATAACAACATTTTATGTATTAGAAGACTTATGTCTCCCTTTTGGTTCTTTCTAGACTAAACAAACCATGTTCTTTAAGCCTTCCTCACAGGTCATGTTCTCTAAAACTCCTATCATTCTTGTTGCTCTCCTTTTGTCCCTTTCTAATTTGTCTGTGTTCCTTAAAGCATGGTGATCAAAACTGTATACAGCTTTTCAGATGAGGTCTCACCAGTGCTCAAAGGAACAAAATAATTGCTTCCTGCTTCTTTTCCAGCATTATACCTATCCCAGAATTAGATCCAAATTCATTGCAATGGTATTCCATTGTGCAGTTTAGATTCCTTTTTCCATGCTATTACCTCATCAGTGCATGTGACTTCTCCCTTGTAAAGGGACTTGTCTTTACCAAATTTCAAATTACTGATTCTAGATTTTCTCCAGTTTATCATGACTGGAGGAACTTTTTGAGAGTTTTACCGCTTCTACTATGCTTGGAGCTTCTTACAGCTTGATCCAAGATCAACAATATTAATGGTTTTTCTATTTCATCACTGAAATAATCTCTAAAACAATACTCCATGGAAGCAAATAAAGGACAGAATCCTGCTGTAACTGGCCCCCCCTGTCTGACAACGAGCAACAGAAAATTTGTCTGTGCCACACTGTTTGTATCAGCTGCTCACCCATATCACGATGATTTTGTAATTATTTAAATAAAAATATTTTTTACAGTTACAGCTTTTATTACTGTAATTCATTTCACATTACTTGTTAATTATATTACAAAATTATGTATTTATTTGTATATTACAAATATATGGTGCGACAGTGTTAAAGGCATTATGAATTTAAAGTATGTCGCAGCTACCACTTTCTTCTTTAGCCACAAAACCTTATCAAAGGAAATTACATTTGCTTGACATAACTCTCCTTGACAAATAGAAGCATAATAAATAAGAGGATGGGAATGCTAGACCTGCATTCTGTTTTAGAGAGTGGTCCAAAACCGTCACCTGGGAAAAGTGCAGGAATAAAGTGAGTAGTGATAAATGACCTCTTATCTTAAAGAATGTAAGGCAAAGAAATAGTTTATCTGGTCTAGGATAGGAAGCACCAGTTGATGATGATGAAAAGGAAGGACCAAGCAAGTACAAAGTGGGCTGATATCCACTGAGATGGACAGATAGTCTGATACACACATCAAGCTACTGAAAATGAACAATAAAGAGATTACTGGCTTTCTATTGATTCAGTGATTAAAAATAATTTGTTCCAACTTTCCAGGGTCTAAAATAAAGCGATTCATAAATCCCCATATGTTTTATTTATAAAGATGAGAAGAGCTTTGCCTTCCTTGAGGCTCCAAGGATCTCCTATATCCTGCATGAGATTGTTCAGCATAATCCTAAATAATTCAGAGTAAAACTGAGAGTACTAGTAAAATAGCTAGTATTGTATGTGCTCTATCTTTAATCATGTACCTATTTCCATCATTCATATAATGCCTTTATGTTCTTGAAGATGTTCTGATACAGACTTTCGTGATGCTTCTTATCCATTCTTTTCCCTGATTAACCTGTTACCATGCATTGAAAAGCACCTTCTTGACTAAATGTTTGTTCTCTTATATCGTCTTGTCCCTCAAGTTTTTTTCACAGGTTCAGATTTCTTGAAGTAGTTGAAACCAATGTCTGAGTTTCAGTAACACTGCAGTGGTTGTTACCTGTTTTTTCACTTCTCTTCATTCTGTTTTTTCATTCTATTCCTTGCATAAAGTCAAAACTTTTTTTTAATTCACAGACATTTCCAGATAACTTTTCCTTCTTTTATAAACTCAGCCAGCTTATCTTTGTTAATCAGAAACAGAACTAAACCGAGACAGCAAGTCCTTAATACCCTTCTCCCCTTTCTGACAGAAAAATTTTTCTTAGAATGTTCCAAGAATTCAAACAATTCTGTGTTGTGTTGTTCAGGTTTTGGGGTTGTTTTTTATTTTTGAGTTGCTATCCAAGAAATTGAATTTTCTCATACCTACCAGTTTCTGTCTTCAGTACAATTCTATTGGTCATTCCAAAAAAAAGCATCTTTAGCTTCTTTGCTTCCTCTTCCCAATTAAGTAGTCTATCATACGTTCCCATAATAACTTCATCAACGTTTTTCCCTTTTACTTCTACCCAGACATCATGAACTTATAACCTATTTTAGTATCAAACAATGACTTTTCATACAAAAGCAATGCTTAATTTTTCTTCAGGGTTCACCGTCTGAAAATTAGTTACTTGTGTATATAGACTGTTTTTCCTAGTGCAGATAAATAAGGCACCAGACAAAAAGCCAAAATTTCAAACTATTTCAGGGATGTAAATAAATACCAGAATAAATAAATAAATAGTTTCAGTTCAAAGAACACATCACTTGCTTATGAATTCTTTGGAAAATTTATTTTATCTTGAGAGAGCAAAATAACAAAATTATAAAAGCAAAAAGCGAAAAACGAGGTGACCAACCTGATCTGGAGAGGGTCTGTGGTTGGAGTGTTGTGGCCTCCCAGGAGATCGATGATGGTGGTGGTGGTGATGGTGGTGGTAGTGGTGATGGTCATCATCATAGTTATCTGCCATCAGTTTCATTCTGTTTTGTGTCTGTTTAAGATGTAAAGTAAGACAATTCTATTACATATTGGCACATATTATTCTAACGGGAGTCAGAGTTTTAGGAAGATCTTGGCTCTCCTTTTTTTTAAAAGTCCAGCATGCTGGCTCACAAAGAAAAGGGAACAGAAATAGAAAAATAAAGTATGTGAATACATCCTCTGTTTCAGCTTTTACATCTGTAGAATTGCATAAAAAATTCAGAAAAGTAAACGATCAAGGATGTTGCATCTGAAGCATGAAAAACATTCAGCTTTTCTAAATTTATTTACAACAGTTTCCAATTTTTTGCAGTCTAATATTATGTCCTAGTAATTAACATTTTAAATCTCGCTGAAAGGAATATTAAGTGTACTTCAAATATTTACAGTTAGCTCGTATACAACAATCATAAACAGTTATGCTAGAAGTTCTACTTTGGCTTACTTATTTTAATTGTACACCAGGACCGCCCCGCTAAACTGCAAGGAAAATGAATCTGAAAACTAACTGATAGACACACAGGCACTCAGAGAAATTACACATTACTGAATGGAAGTAAGTCTTAGATACAGATCTTGAAAAAGAGATCAACACTTCAGCTACAGTTGTGTACAGATAATAAAATCTATGTCACCATGAGATAGCAAGATACATCGCTGCTCTTTATCACTGTTACAATTATTCCATACCATGAAATACATGGACCAGAATAATTCAAACCTTGCTCATAACACCAAAAATATCTTACTACCAATTGTCTGATACCAGTGGATACAGTCCTTATTTTTTTGTGTTAGTAGGACTGAAGACTGTCACAGGCAAACCTATTAAACCGCAATCAAGTTTTACTTAATTTTGCACTAACGAAGCCCAGAAGAAAATGCTGTCAACTCTCAAAAACCTCTTCCAAAATAAAAATAATCAACTGGAGACATATACAATTATTATCACACAGTTAACTGAAGGAAAGATAGCAATCTTAACACACTTAATGTCATGCACGATGTACAGAAACCCGGATGAGGATGCTGGTTAAATACACTAGCCCAGGACTTTGCTCAAACTAATGATTCTTAAGCAGATTAATTTAAATACAACTCATTTGTTTGGGTATGTTCCTTTATTAACAGGTCTAACTGGCTCTCAATTCAAAGTGCCCATAGCTAGTATCTGGTAAATTTACTTCCAGGACTACTGTAATTTGATTTTCCTATGAGATCAATCCTATATCAAATCTCTGTTTGGAAAATTTCACTGGTAGGTATATTTTAATAGAAATGTAAAACTCAGCAATTGCTAGTAAATTTCCCAATTTTAATGTTTTTTTGCTAAAGTTGAAAAGGTATTTGGGAAAAAAAAGGCAAACTAAATATTCATATTACATAATATTTGAACTTAACTAAATCTAATGCAAGGAAAACTATTAACCACAGAATCACAGGAAATGTGTCTTTTCAGTAATTAATTTTTTTCCAGTTGTCACAATGCTTCTCAAGCACTTCATGTGACGTCCATTAGAAGGATCATAGAATACTACTTTACAGGAGGGGATCTGTACTCAGTTCAAGTAGAATTAAACCAACCAACCCAAAACCAAATCCTTAAGGCATCCACAACAACAAGATACAGAAAAAAATCACAGCTCAGATGTGCACCATCGGAATTTCTGAGCATCTCCATAGCACTGGAACAACATGTTCTCAGTGTGCTACAGAACAAGAGGAATCTGAACAGTTTGTTTTCTCCCCCCCAAACAAGAAGATGGAAGCATACAGCTGTATGAATTTCAGCTATGACTTTCTACCAGTATTTCTAAAAAGAACATCTCGATCTGAACCATCATAGCTGGTCCTTTTGTCTTTAGATCGAAAGAGGAAGGCCTTTTGAACAAAAGAGTGGAAAAGATGGAGAATTAATAGACAAATAATAAGCCACTTACTGTAAACACTGTAATACCCTGCCTCTTTAGGGAAGCTCCTAACATTTTATTAGTTTATTTTCTTATCAATGAACAGCCTTAAATTTCCTACCTTTCAACTGTATTCCATAAAAGAATGTAAAAGTTAAACAAGATGATATATGCAATCCTAAAAGTGTCCTCTGTAATGAGGTGTTGGGGATTAGACGTGTCATGGGATAAGAACTGTAAATGAATGATGTCATCTTTCTAATTTGGTGCTGAAATATAAATAAACTACTTCTAATGTTTCTTCCTTTTGGATGCCAGATTGCAGTAAAATGTGCACAAAGAAATGTTAATGCTCTAGTAGCCCTCTTTTAGTCTGTCTGTTCTGGAAGCAAAATATATGAGAAATGTGAAATGAGAACTTCTTTTCCACCCAAGAGACCATCGAACCATCCAAACTTTTACATGACTTGTGACTGTCATTAATTTTTTAAAATTATTCTAAATACTTCCCAAAATATTACTTTTTAAAGCTTTTTGGTTTTATTTTTTAGCTCTTCACAATGATAACAAAAACGATTTTGAGGTTCTGTTTGCCTTTGTTTCAGCTACTGCCAGAGCACTGTACTTCCACACTGAACTGCATTTTCCAGGCATGCTTAGCTTTGACCTAAGAAGTACAAACACGGTATGATTTCAAACTTTTAAAAGCAGGGTTTTTGAAGAGGATGCACAGGAGGATTTCTGGAAGAAGAAAAATAGAAAATAAAACCGTTCTGAGGAACAATACAATCCTTTTCACATCCTCCTAAACAAAAATCTGTAACATTACTTCTGTTTGCTCCCCTTGCTAACTTTTAATCTTTAGTAGGCTTTGAAATGCCAGTTATATTTTTACTTGAGGAAGAAATTAATTAACCACATTGGGAATTTGTTCAGGACCCCAGGGCTTCACACCCCTACACCTACATACAAGCACATACATAGACACACAGAAAGGTGCTTTATCAGACAGATAGTAAATCCTCATGGTCTGGGTCTACATCAACACATTCAGGGACTGCCTCAGTACTGTCTGTCAGGGGAAAATACCATGTACTGACTTGGCAACGTCATCATTTCCTGCAACATCCCTGGCATACCTGAAAATTTCCTATTCAAGAACATCCAGCATCTTTTCTTATATTACTTTTGAAAGCACAACAATATCTAATATTCCATATGACTTTTCTGGATGGTCTGGAAAGTGGGTTCTCAAAATACACAATTAATGAAAATTAGAGTGATGATCGTACATGCATTTAAACTGCACAGTATCTAATGTGCATCACGTGCCATCCTGCACTCCTAATCTGAAATAGTTATAGGTCAAACTTTTATTCACATTTTCCTTTCAAACTCGAAAACAGGGTTTCCCAGAATTTACATAGCTACACCTCTGACAATAATTTTTTTTTTTTGAAAATGCCTGGTGAACAACAGGCCCACACCTGAGAAGGAGCAGGTTTTAATTTTGATTTATACTAGAGAAGAAAAACATGTTAACTTGTAAAATGCAACAATTAATTAACTGCATCTCCTACAGACCATGTATAGCCTTATTAGTTCAAGCTTAAACAATGTCCTCAGATTTTTCTCCTTTCAATTGATTGACTACATTCAATAAATACTGCATCCATTTTGAAATAAAGGAATGATCAAGGAATTAAAAGCAGCCTAAATGTAGGTGCACAGGTATAATAACCCTTAGGGTTTGAAACAGTCGTCTTTGATCATTCAATATCACTATTTGCTAAGCTGTCAAGGCCATGAATGGTATGTGTAACTGAATTTTTAACCCACTTACCAAAGAATTTATGATCTAGCACTGTAAGAAAACTGACAGATATTTCTTGTCCTCCTAAAATTCTGTTGAGTTTAAGTAAGGATATACTGAAGTGAAATGAAAGTCTTTGATTGACTGGTAACAGACTAAATAGCTTAACAGCAATCTGTAACTGTAAAACTATAATATTAAAACTGTCTTTTAAAAAATATTTTAGCAAGGTGGCAATAGGGAACTATGCTTTGATCTGTCATCTGGATCAAGTTAACAACAAAACTCTCATGAACGAGGTTCAAATGAGGAAAAATAGTAAGATCTGTTGCTCTGGGATATAGGTGTAATACAATTCAATAGCTATTACTTTCCTTTGGATTTTCTTCTCAGTCTCTCTTCACTAAATGGAATTTGAAATATTTCTAGAATATTCACTTTCAATAGAGTAGGATTTTTCCCTACATAACTGGAGAAGGAGGCCTGCAAGCTATCCTGGAGCTATCCTGAGGTCTAATTGTTAAAGAACAGAATTTAAAATCTGGAGTCCCACCTTCTGCAATTGATTCTGCAATTGCTTCTTTTGTTCAATGACACAGAAACTCTGTGTCTTGCAATCTCAGTGTTTGAAAATAAACATTCTACTCTTTCCACAAAACACTCTGAGAACTTCATGTGGCAGGCTTTAGTTCTAACATTCATGATTTTTAATAATAAATTATTTTATCTGAGTTTTTTTTTTTTCTCCTAAAACAATATCTTAGAAAACATAAAAAGGTAATTGTCTAAAAAACCTGTGTGTTTCACATATAGTGAAACACTATATAGTTTAACAAGTTTATCCAGAAGTTGCATAAATTTAGTGAATTAACCTGGATTTAATGAAAACATGTGCAACTGCAATTGGTTTTCCAATATGAATCCAGTGCTTCAGGCTTGAATTCCATTAACTGAGAGTTAACAAAATGTTTGCCTACTAAGTCAGCTCTGTACTTACTCTCTACAAATAAAATCAGTTTTCATGTTAGAACAATATTTTTACACATTCTTTGAAAACTGTTATCATCGGAAGACAAGGGAAGAATTTCTTATAATTTCTACTGCTGCATCTCAAGTTTATAGAGATACCTGCACCCCACATAAGTGATTTGATAATAAGCCAAATAGTGTGATTAATTTGCCACCTAGAGAAGAGACTTAAGAGAGATTCTTCCACAAAGTTCCAGTTTAAATTTTTTTTAACTTCTTGATATACTTAGGGATTTTGGGGCACTGGTTCACTAATTA